ATATTTCTGAAGTTTTATGGTTAATCTCGTTAATTATTCAACCATTTCACGTCATTCGCAATCAGTACATCAGATTATCGAAGCGTAATGCTAATCCGAAGTATCGTGATATTCCAGCAATACATAGTAACACTACTTTTACATTGAATAAGCTTGATTGCGACCGCTCGCTCAGAATTTTGTTAGATCGATGCACCTAAGAATCATATTTTTAGAGACACCGCGACCAAGGCTTAATAGTTGTGTATTCATGCAACGTGGAAAATATACGTTTTGCTTTTTGTTACGCTTGCATTTTCTCTCGGCGTAACACACTCTCCACGAGTTGAGATTACTATATTCGCCCCCCAAGTGTGGTCAATAGAGGGATTTATTAGATGTTGAAATGATTACACATTGAAGGCATATGACAACAAGTTTGGATATTTGCTATAATTTTTTCATTTGTAATAGCTTTGTCTGTCAACAGAAATATTTCCGGAATTTCATAAAAATCGGGTAAGGAGTATTATTTCACTTCTTATATCCTCCCTGAGGAATTCTGATATCTATTCCATATTGAAAACATTCGGAGAAAGTCTAGGATAAGAATTCCGTCTTCATTAAAAATGTATACCGAGATTTTGCCCGGTCAAGTGCAAAAAAAACGACGCCGAATGTATAATGAATGTGTCGAGTGTATCGATATCACACAAATTTTCAAATAGCGTGTCCGACAATGCAAAGGATGTGTAAGATATTGTATAACAAGATGTTTGAGCAACTAGAACTTAGCCCAAAAATTGTCTAGGTTTGCTAATGGAGTTTAAAAAAGTTGTTGTTTGAAAAGGAAAGATTATAGTATTAGTATTTTTGACAGCTACTCAGCATAAAAATCTTCTTTGACTATTCAGCCTATGTTCGGCCAAATTTCAATGCTCAATAGACAATTCTGTGCAAAAGAGATACTAGACCAAATAGATCTCAGCTTTATACAGTTATATAATCCTAACATGTTAGTGTTCAGTGCTTAGATTAACTGCGAATTATTGATCCCGGTCTGGCCGCGCAAATCTCGAATTGTTAACTATGTGCTAATATTTGATTCATTTACAAAATAACATGTAGCAATGTGCAATAATTATGAATTTTTGACATTTTCTTACTTATTACACTAATAAATTTACCGTACAGTTTCCCACGATTGCATTTCATCAAGTTTGTGTTTTGAACGATCGTTCACATACGTTGAGCTCCATTATTTGCTAAACGTGTATTGGCGTAAAAGTTCTAACACCTCCTTATTTAGAACCAATCATTAGATGAACCTCTATTGAGTTCAGATTCTTGAATGGAAATCATATGGCATTGTCAATATAATGAGATGGAACGAACATATATTTTACGCCATTTTCGAACAATCCGAAATCAATACGTGTTATTGATTTCGTGAAATAGGCTCAACAAGAGATAATAGAATATAAATGATATTCACCTATTGGAAAAGTCATATTCAAATACATCAATCGAAGATTAGTTTGTTACAAGGTAAATACCTCGGGCATATATTTGATTTATATAGAAAGAGCCGTTAGCGAAAGCGCAAACAAGGTTGCTATAAATAAGTCTGTGTTTCAATACATTATTTTTGGGCATTTGGAGGTATAATTTCGCAGGTAGTTTTTCAATAGAAGCATTTTCGAACCAAGCTTGATATATGGAAAATAGTCGACGTTCAATATCACAAACAAAGAATGTTTATAAGAAACATCAAAGCCATAAAATGAATTCGCTATATTATACAGGATGACATGAGCTTATCTACTCATAAAAAATTCAATCATAATGAACTACAGCTCAATTTTAACTCTAATCAATTCTTGATATTTTAAATACATACAGAGCTATACATTCGTACATTAGCTCATGAGAAACATGGCGAACTGCAATAAATCATGTCTTAAAAGGTCACATGGTAATTGAATGTCATAGAATGATGCCACGCGTATATTACTTTCGACTTTGTATGGCATTGTATGTAGAACGGCTGTGCCAATGTTATCTGTGATATGATATGGTTATTCCGACTTATATGACGAGATCTTCAAATTAACTTAATCTGCGATTTCTTCTCGTGTTTTTAAGTACAGAACCAGTAAGTCCTAACCATAAAACAGTTAATACATGTCAGTTCTTTGTTCAAAAAACGTAATTGGAAAAGTAAGAAACGCAGGATTAAGACTGCTTTCAAAATCAATCTGATGTATGATGTATTTAGTAAGAATTGAGAAATTTGTAGATTATTCTAAGTCTGTTCAACTGCAGGGATGAGAGCTATAAGTGGCTTGATTTAAAAATGTGTTTGTAGAGCTAGTGAAAAGACAATAACACCCAATATAAGTTTGTTTTTTTTATGAAAACTTCTCCAGTAAAGGTGATATGAGGTAAATCAGCTATGAAAGGTTGTCTTGCAAATAATAAGTCGTTATCTAGTAAGATTTTCAGGTTCATTAACTTATACGACACAGTCAAATAGATTTTTCTACAAATATATATAATAGACTTAATTCTAAACTAAAAAAGTCTTTCGACATATTTTCAACAAGTCGTAGTAAGTCATAGCAAAACGTACCTTAAATTCAGTTTCATTGCCTGTTGCAAAATCATAGTTTAGCATCTTACTCGTTGGCCATTTTGGGTTTACGTATATCGTTTGTGGTTTTAGCTACGAAACCCGTGGATGAAGTCTGTGAAAGTTTCGCAAAAGTTTTTGCATCAATATTATAAAAATCATTTGGTCTACCAGTAAACTTGTGACTAGTTAATTGGTCAACAGGGATTTTTAATCAATTGCAAATGCAGAGGGGAAGTCAACTATCGACTTCTAGGAATGGACGTGTTATCTGGAATCTGAGCTTTTTATCATTTTGTAACACTATGTGATTCTGCATATTTCTCGGGGATGTCTTTACTTGATATTGATCTTGTTCGTTATCTTTTTATATACCGCTTAGCATGAACTAGTGTAAAAACACAGACAATTTGAGAATAGCGTTTATGCGCTTATAATGTGAACCACATCAAAGAAAACCTTTGAATCAATTCTTGTATTTTGAATGGTAATTGCTGAATATGTGTCTTTATTGACCATGTCAAACGATTTTTCTCGCATAATTATTCTACGTCGCCCTAACGTTTGGGTCGATAAATTATTATTCTCGTTTGTGATTCTCACGAGAATCCAACGCTAAGTACCTTAATTATTTCCACTTGTACAGCGTGCCAAAAATATCTTCTGATGAATTTTCGTTGACCTGCTGCTGAAAAGGGAATGATTTATGAATAGATATATATGTACATTGTTCGATTTTGATAATCTGATATACTGTAATTCGTTTCTCCTAAACATTTGTTAAGCTAATAAAAGAATATTATTTTTTGAGGTTAGTGCAACCTTCATTTTAAAAAATACAATATTTAGCAATATAGCTGTAGTTTGTCATAATTTTTTTCGGGTTTAAATTTGGTCATATTAGCTTATACTGCTAATTTTATTACTGCAGAAAACTCGATAGCGTATCAGAAATGAGAGCATTTCACCCACTAGAAACATCTTATAAACATCAAAATTTTATTCGCTCCGTCATCACAAACACTCGTTTCGTGTTCAGTTTCCACCAAACAAAATACATATATAGTTTTGTTTGGGACTTTGGTGGTTAGTTTTGCCGTTGTTTTGAAAAACCCGTTCCAATTAAGTCGGATAGCAAATGTTTTCCCACGATGCCATTCCAGCCGAACAACAATTTTGTTCATACCTTAGTTAGCAACGGAACCGGGGCGGTTAATTTGATTTATTTTGACAAAATTTTATTAATAATAATTTTGAAGAATTAGGGAGTAATTCTATAAAAAGCATATTGTTTGTCGTATTTAAATGAGTGCGATATTATCTTGTCGTAAGCATTGTCAAATGGGCTGTCAGGTTCAGTAACGATACAGTCGATAAAACTGAAATACATCCCTCTGTGAGTACATATAATAATATGAAAAAAAAAACAATGATTTTAACTTGAGTTTTCAGTAATATGATAACGAAAGACAGCCAGCTAGCTAGAAAGATGTGTTGTCAGCTAAGATAAAATTGATTGATTTCGATAATATGAAAAAAAAAATTTAACTTGAGTTTTCAGTTTTTAGTAATATGATAACGAAAGACAGCCAGCTAGCTAGATAGATGTGATGTCAGCTAGGATAAAATTGATACGATGCGAATTTTGGAACTCTCATAATGCATCGATCTAATTATTTATCTATGTTAGTACCAAGTTCATTAGTTTTATTTATATTCGATTTTATAAATACTCTGCAAACACTTTATTTTCCAGATTGAGTTTGATGTGTGGCTCATCCCTTTGTACAAAACAATCTTTTTACATATTTTAGAACTTTCCAAAGGATTTTAGAGTTTTCTTTAATTGAATCCTTCGAGGATTGTAGATGCCAAAATAACTGCCGTGGCTCAATTCAATTATAGATTTTACCTCCTGTCTGTAGAAATAGGCCAAGAAGGTGTAGTTCAGACCTGTCATTCTTAAGATTTCATAGTTTCCACAAAAACAACTAATTTGCGATTTTATAATTTGGATATATTAGGTATTTCAGTGGCAAAAGATGATGTGAGGTTTTGTAAAACTTGAGTCAACTTGAATAGGAAATTCTTATAGTTCGAGAATTTTATATTCGTATCATACGTAAGGTAAAAGCAGTTCACCATCCTTTGTGAGTTTTTTTAACGGCTTTATACTTAGGAAGTGCTTGCATGTAAATGAAAAACTAATTTTATGCATCTTGAATAGTCCTACCCCGCTCATTGACTACGCCTGTTTCAATTGTATGGATCACATTTCAGATGAATACTTGACCTTCTGCCAAATGATATATAAACCAGAACATGAGATGAGACCCACTTCATATGCTTACGTTAACCCTTTTTCCAGCAATATATATCTACTCTAACTCAGAACAGTAGGGCAACAGAGAGACGAGTGTGGGGCAGGTACGTGACAAGTGTGAGATAATTGGGGCAACTGTGGAACATGTGAAGAACAAGCGGCGCACGGCATTTTGGGACACCACACTCACCCTATAGCAAAACCAAACGATTTCTTTTTCTTTTATTCTAAATAACGGAGTAGGATTAACTGAGTAAAATCTTATAAAATTCTTCGATCTACTAGTCCAAGCGTAAAGATTGGTTCAATTGAATGCTTAATGAGGCGTTTAGTATTTCATTTTGGCATGAATACCCAACAACGAGAGCGTTCACATCATACGTGTTTTATCATTCACTTCGTAATAAATTACTAATGTTATATACGGTGCTCCAAGGCCTTAGTGATACCCACTTTTGAACTTGTATCCTCCAATTTACTGGGACGTTTAATCATTGCTATTATATTTAAACCTATACTTCTAAAATTATGACTGACTCCAAATAAATATAATTACGACGATTAGATTTTATCATTTCGCAGTTTTAACTTGTGATAATGCTCTTCTGAATACGTCAGCAAAACTTACTGACGTAAACTTACCGAATCGATAAAAGACTAAATGATATTTCAATTATTTGAATATAAGAAGTTAGATTTTGGTAATAAAACATTTTGTTTTCCAAATCAAAGAATTGCAAACATACACACACACGTACAGTGCAGTAATAATACAGGTGGGCTGGACGAATAAAACTTTTTTATAAGATTTTGGGTAAAAGATTTTCAAATTTAATTCTTTTAACTAACGAAAAATAAATTGTTACTGCGTTGGCTTAAGGGTTTCTTCATTTAAGTGTTGATCGTAAACCTGGCATTCACGTACCAGTTTATGAAAATCAAAATACATTTGAACGACCATTCGCCGATCCAGTTTCTGTGATATCGATACATATCAGAAAATGAAAATCAGTGATTAATTTTAATATGGCCGATTGAATGCGTCGAGAACTTGGACATTGCGTCATCATTCAAAACGTACAGCATTCGAAATAGCCATAATTCGATCTTGATGTGCTGCCTTAATTCTTCGCATTCTATTGCGCTGTGTAGATTTTGAAGATGTGCACATAAGACAATGTAGACGTTTGGCAATATATAAGATTGAGAATCAAGTACAAACATTCACGTTTGGAGTGAGAATCTACCGACTACACTATTTATGAAATTTGAAAAATAAAACTTCAATTAAGTTCAGCTATACTTTAAAATTTAATGTATAATTCATATATCGTTGATAACATCTTGAAATTATCAGCCAAAATGTCATCATCATCGCTCAATGTTATCAAATTTCCTAGCTGGCAATGAAGTAAAAAATTATCATGACATAAAAAAATCACGTTTAATACCTGGGCAATGTCTGATCATACGTGGTTTGGTAATTTCATGTTATAGATTTCAAATGAAATTTAGTCACTCCAAAGATAAGATGATCATTTATATTCCCTGTTTTCTCGATTTTTGGAGCACAATGTTGAAAGTATAAGATTTTAATAAGAAACTGAGTGACCATGCTTTCAAGCTAGAACCTCATTAATTATTCATATATATATCATAGAAGAAATATGGTGATTATGCGTCAAGATGCTGAAATGATTGTTCACCGTTGCCATATTTTTAAATCTCATCTCACGGAAACAAATCTAATTAATAAAAGCAAACGTGAATTTTATTTTTTAGGAAATATTAGAAATCACTAAATCGAAGTTTCACATCTATCACTGGGGAGAAAGAAAACCTAATAGACTCCATAGTCACGTGGCAAACTCGAATTCACGAGACTAAAATTTGGGTGTAAAGATTTATAAAAATAACTGTATATTTCTCATTAATCAATGGGTTAAATGCTTCCGCTAAAATTCTCTTATTCATCTCGTTTTTCTTATTTTGTAGATTCCATTTATAAATTTAAGAATATTACATTGACCAACATAATGGCGGGAATGATATCTTTTCTACATAAAAGTCAGCTTCGTCTGGATTCCGGATCAGGAGCTGCTACGATGGAAGATAGTGGAAATGATTATAGAAAACCCTGTAGAAGAAGTCCTGCCAGTGGAAGGCGTATTCTTGCGCTCGGGTACGAACTACGTATATTTATTGCAATAATATTTCAGTTACAATAGGAATCAAATAAGGGTATTTGTAACGACTCAACTATTTTGTGACTTCGGCAAGAAAATATTTCTAAGCAAACTAATGTACAAGTGACAATTTCTTGTGAGGCGTTTTCACACCAATTATCACACTATTCATATTAACATTTCTCCTTAACATATGGAAGCTCAAGTAATGACGAAACCAGTACAAAATAATCAATTTTCATATGTTTATTTAACAAACCATTATCGCGTTATGCTGCTTATAACGTTAATCGCCGTGAGGTTAGTTAGATTAAGCAACTTATCAAATTACTACTCTTTTGTGACATCTTGCGCTTCCGTATTTTAGCATCAAAATATTCTCACAAGGACTAAATCGAACATGTGTTTATATTAGGGTTTATTTCGTTCTATATATTTGATCTCTATTTTATTCCTCTATCAGAGTAACCGTTAAATTATATTTGAAGCTTTCCACTCAAGTGTTAAAGTACACCTCCATTTGTCATATTTATTCGGACGGAAAATCTTTATTTCGCACATTCCCTGCTGATTGCGATGTCGGATAGTAAGTATGATTGCCAGTGTACTTATTGCTGTTTTAGTATTCCAGAAATAATTTTTGCGGCAAAAGCTGTTATATGTTAATAAATAGAATAATATAGAAGTCGTTCAGTAATAGTAAACTATCGATAAAATGCAGAATATTCACCGCTGATATCAATTATTATATATATTTTTAGTTTTTTCGTAATGTGTTCCGTTTTGGCTGTTTACGGTCTATTTTTTATCTAATGTAAGTAATTTTTAAATACTCGCAGCGTATCAGAAATATTTGGTTACGGTCATTAGCCAGCTTAAAATACCAATTGATTCAAATTGAAATCTTTAGCGTCATTACCTACTTTTTGACATTGTAATTAGTCTTTTCGCATTTGAGGCGTGCGTTCGCATTCTGTCTGTCGCTATGGGGCTTAATTAACTCAAAATGAAATAATTAATTAATCGGAAAATCGTCATCGCAATCCAAGGTCGAGCAAACTTATATTGCTATTAAGTAAACCTTTGTGTATTTACCTTTCACCACTCGGATATTCTATGTTAATATTTCATATTTCTGATTAGTGAAAACTATCGAAACTAAACACGAAATCATTGTTTTAAGTTTGAATTGTAACAAAACAATGATATTATCATTGGCTGTATACGAGATATACTCGTATGTTCGTGTATTATACTCCGTCTTACGTCAATATTATTTGACTCATATTGACTTTCAAAACATAATGTAAATTCTCTGGGCGGTACAACCCATTAAGCAGACTATAAAATGGGATTTTTAATCTTCTACAGTCAGTTATCAATTAGGCATTTTGTCTAAGATGGGGGATATTAGAAAATATGTAACTAAGCTAATCGAAAAGATTAGTAAATTAACTTATTTTTTACGTGCATAATACATTTATGCTATTCACCCGTCTGTGTGTACTTGTATGTACAACGATTTCATTACCGCGAGCCTGAAGAAGTGAATTTCTTCGAAATTGCAGATATTAGGTTTCGACCGCATATTTTTAGCAGTATCTGATAACTAGAGCTTCGTCAGTCAGAATATGTTCAAATATTAGGGGTTTGTTTCGTCTTGAATTCGTAGAAAGGCAATATTTGAGTGGTAGGCCGTACATCTCGTGTTTCAATATTTTTTGGGGCGTTTGCTTCATGCCAGTAATTTATATATTTCTAGGTAGGTGTATGAGTACATCAAAAAAATATTGAGGGTTTATACTTGGTTGGGCGGCGAAATAGATACAGGAAGAGTATAATTTGTGATTTATACTGAGATCTTACTGTTTTGTCCAGATATCAAATTCTTTTTTTTTGACAAGTGATGAAATCACCATACTAATCGTCTTTCATTTAAGAGACTAGTGAAAATTATGGTTTTGTGACTCAAATGCCACTCTCGGACGCACATTATTAATTAATTTATTCATCAATTTATTCATTATTATTCGTTTTCAGCTGTGAACAATGCTGGACAACATTGATACTTACATTTTTTAACTTTGTAATCTCACACGGGTATATTCTGAAATGATAAGTATCCAGAAATTGCAATGTAGTTTGCCAATGAAATATATACTTTTGAAATATCATATTTGCATATGTACAACAAATATCGGAATTCTTCTCGAATGTCTTTACTTATTTATTTTGGCATTTTGAAAATATCATTGTTTTTTTAATATATATTTTTTTGGTAATGTCATAAACAACAAAATGTCGTTCAGGTTCATTGAATAATTCGAATAATAAATAGTTATATTCATTGGTCTTCAGGCACGGAATGAAAACTCTAGCTGGGCCATCAGACAGATTACCGAAGCGTTTCAGAAAAAAACGGTAAGGATATACCATGCTAGTGTTCTTCATGTGTATGTATAGGTTTACTTGTTATTTAATCCGAACATAGTTGTCTGATTCAAACACTCAAATATTTGCATATTGATTATTCCTGCTCGATATTGCACTCTGTAAAACAAGAAAAGTATCAGTTCATATTTCAGAATTTATATTTTATCGCTTTTTTATTGAAGTTTATACCGCTCATTTCTTAAGCCGTTTGTTCCTGTTTTATACAAAATTAACAGCCTTCCACGATTGTCAAAAACATCATGTATTCGGAAATTTCAAAATATCTCAAAATGTAACTGCGTATTGAGATATGTTTCAATTACCCAACCCTATTTTGGCGGTATTGATCTTCATATGCTTGCATTTCATGCTCATTGTAGTAACTTTAAAAATCTCTGTAATTTTCGTTCATGCTTAGTGTTATTTTGCTAATGTTCCTCACGCACGTCACGTTTATCACTTAGTTGCAATGAAATTCATCCGCTACTTCGACGAAGTGTCTGCACTTTAATAATGGCGGGAGCAGGATTGATGGCAGGAATTACTATCTTACTTGTTGATCATTATATGCATAAAGAGGTAAAGTCAAAATTTTATCATGAAAACTTATTTAAAGCACAGTGAAGTGAGTGAGCGAATAAATCTAGAGAAAAACAACGCAATCACAAAATCACTGGGATCTGCTGGGAGTTATTTGTGAATCAGTGTCTCCAATCTAACTGAATCGTTACTACACGCCACTTTCACTATAACATTTGATCATTAACAATTTAACAAACGTACAAAACGATAATTTAGGAATGTATAGCATCCCTTTGAGGTTCGCTTCGCGACTGCGTAAACTTTTGACGTCATGTTAGTGCAGTGTTTCTTGGAACGTTGGTGAACGTATAAAGTACAAGTAATATCAAAAATGATTGTAGATCAATGTTTATGGAAGGCTAGTGCATTTGTATATTGTAATGATCCGCTGTGTGTAGTTCACTCTGCCTATCAAGCAGTTGAACTGAACTTCCGTCTGTTTGCTGAATTATGCGAAGAAAGCGAATCCGAGTTTGAAACTATCTTGTTGCACTCAACCGCGAGATGCGAAATTGCTGAAAGAAGTTTAAGTAGATATACCTGCTTCACTGCAAAAAGTAAAACATGAAAGCACGACAAATTCCCCGAAGTTTATTTTCTTGTGTGTCTGTTTTTGATGTGCTCCTCGCTATTAAAACAAAATTCCGAACCACAATAGAAATGAGACATATTGTGAGAGATCCACTGTCCCAAACAGAACCCGAAATAGAAGAACTGATGTGAACCAAGCAATTGCATCTATCCCACTAAACTGCACGAATGAAATGCAATACATGAATGTTTGATATTACGTGTTGCTATTCTGAATTTTTTGGCGGACCGCGAGTCATCAGAAAAATTGTAACGGGACCGTTATGCAATTTTTTTAAAAAGTTTCCGAACCATTGATGTATACAGATTACAGATACATGTATATTGAAATTCGAAATAACTACGCACAATTACAAATAATGTCTGTATTTATTTGGATAAATATTGAAAAAATCACAATTTTATACTTTAGATGGCCGGAAACAATTTAGTAGAATTTCTACAGCTATGGGCCATTCAAAACCAATTTATTCAAAATATAAAATTACCTTTCTATGATGCTTTTTGTCTAAGAGTGATTTCGATAAAAACAAATTTTAAATTGATAAACGGTCACTTTTACACTTTTCTGATTTTGTAGGTTAAGGTCTGAATATGATGTTTCCAATCTTTGGCGTTTTATGACACGGTCAACCATAATATCTATTTTATACCTCAGTTTATTTATATGATTTTTGTTACTGCATTTTTCTAGATTTCGAGGGCCGGGATAATAGTTTCATCTATATCACTGTGTTTCATAATTCTCGGAATAGCTTGGCTATGTTGGAGCACAGCTCAACTTCGAAAACTCAGAGAAAAGATTCTTGAGAAACAAGCTGAACGTGAAAATAGGGTAAAATGCCATTTGGAAATAGCATGACTACCATATATTATTATTTAATCGCAATTTGATTTTTTATTTATTTCTGCTGTATTAAAAACAAATATATACTAGAATTATATATAGATTTGACCCTGCAGATTCAAATATAAAAGTTAAAAATGCAGTTTGTTTTTTGTTTCACAACTCTGATATATATATACTATATTTCATCATGTACAACCTGTTTGTCCCCATATGTACAACAACAAACAGTGGAGGATATAAATCCTTTTAGAATGGCAAAATCTTTGAAATTGTTTGCCAAAACATTATTGATGCTTCCGTATTCGAAGCGTATTTTTACACAGGAATCAGCTAAATAATCACTAATTGCGCTACGCTGCATTGAAAAGACAAAACTTTAACTGCATCTCGAGCAGAAAATATTAACGAACGCATAGTTATTGTTGATATTGCTGTTATGCACGAAAAAATTTATTTGGGTTTGTTTTATTTTTTTTGCCGATTTTTTCATTACAGCCCGTTTCACTGATTAACGTTCGTCTATCATCTTAGCGTCTTCCATATTCAAAGTTTTTGTGTGATCTTGTTTTCTTTGCCATGAATTGTTTTAATTGCTTACAAAAGCAGGGGAAAGGCGGAGGAACAGACCAATTTTACACTGATCGGCCTGCACATGATCCTGCATCTCTTTCTGCTGCCAAATGGCCAATGGAGTCCGTTATCAGAGAAGATTCATCTAAATCAAGGTGACTACATTCACGATGTATTTTTTTTAATTCGACCTACAAATTGTTCTTTATCGTTATTACCCGTATTATCATTTTATATTCATTTTACATTACATTTTTTCTTCTATTCAATCCGGACAAAAAATCTAGTTTGTATGATCGTTTTGACCCTGAAATCTCTACTCAGCTACATTTAATATACAAATCACGTTAGATATATCGATAGATTTAGAATGATGCAACTGACTGAATTGAACCTACACTTTCTTCCTTGCCTGACTGCTAAGTTCTTATTCTGCCGTCCACTTTGTTAGTAGAAAATGTTGACATATTCCTAATAACATTTGTTAAATTTTCATTCTAACATTACAATTGAATGTCATTTAATTTATAAAGACATTTCAGAACAAATTTGTACATTTGATAATATCCACAATTGTAATTGACTGAGTTACTGTTCCCATGCGATTACCGGTTCGTGAGTCTTCTGTTCGATTCCAATCGCACCAAAGTACCATCCCAGTTTCTGTTTTCGCGTCCAAAACAAGATATTAGTTTGAAAATGGTAATTTTTGCAAATACTTCAATTTAGAAGACTAAACTCTCGTAATAGCGTCGAATATGAGGGTGATATTCCTTACAACGTTCCCACAAACTCCAGAAAATATAATAAGTTCAATCAGCTTCCATCCAACATGTCCGGAACTAGTTTGATGAGTGAAAATGACAGCGTTTTTACACGTGAACTTTCAACCATGGATTTCTACAGACAAAAATCAATCGACAGTCGTCAGTCCACAGGTTCTGGTCCAGTACCGCAGATTTACGTCACAGGGTGTACCAACGAGCAGAAAAATGAAGATAGGAAAGAAGACTCGTCATCACGGAGAGCTCCTAAGACAGAAAACATTGAAATGAGAAAAATATGACTATGTAAGAAGTAGAGCTCAACCATTACGGGAAATAATAAGTGCACCGCAGAGGATGGGCTTCACACGGTTTAAATAAATACATGCCCGTTGCGATAACGACGGCATGGCGGCCATGCGACTGACCACTGATAGCATAGAATTAAATATTATAATATTAAGTGAATGAAGTCAAATTCTAACTTACAACACAACATTCTTAATAATCCATGGGCCATAATATTGTTCCAGGCAATTATGTTCACCGCAATTTTCTTATTTATGCACTTTCAATATTAAAAGCATTTGATTCCAAGATGCCATTTTTATCATTAAAATTGTTGATCATCTGCTTCAGTTTGACATAATTTCCAAAATACTCACACAAGATGGCATCTGAATTGATTTTTGGATGAACAGATATATAGTGGTATTGTGTCTCTGATTTATCTGAGAATATTTTGTTGTCAACCTAATATTGCTAACGGCATATGATATACTGTATATAATTCCGTGTATAATCGGTACATTTTACAATCACTGCTGATAATAACCTTTTAATACAATATAATAGGCCCCGCTGCCACCTTCCATAGACAAGTTAGATGAGCAATTTTTTAATTTGAATCTTTATACTTTTCCGTTATTTATACGATGATCTAATATAATTCTGTCATGTTTTTGCTTTATTTGCTATTTGAAACAATACAAATATGAAGGAGTGACAAGTAAAATACGGCACCGTCTTTAGCTGTGGTGAAAATCGACATGAGATCACTGCTATCAATAAATTGTTCGATCACCAGAACGTGAAACAATTTTTTAAAAGATGCTAAATTGTTGTTGTTGTTGTTGTCAATCTTTTTTTTTTTTGTTGTTACGGCGGATGTTGGGATTGTTTTGGTAAGAAATCACCTTTCTGTGCAACTGATAAACCAACGGATTTCAAATACGGACAAGGTAACTAGGAGGCTATTACCTTCCTTATTTTTTCAAAGCTTCTCTCAGTTGGCATCTGAACTTTCATCCCAATTTTGTGTCTTTGTAATTTGATTAGAGGGGAACACTTTGTATCCCGCAACGTCACGCTTGCCTTCGATATTTTCAGCAAACTCAATTCCCAAATACTTTACCGTATTGGTTCCATTTTGTCAATTGCTCTCCTGTGTGTATTTTTAGCTTAGGAAACATCGCTCACACTCCTCTCGCATGTTTGAAGTAAAAGTTATGATATGATTGTCAATGTTTGCATATATGAGTCGATATTATCAGATTTCCCTATACAGTACTGTAGTTATATTCATGATAGATACTGATAAAAACACGTTTCGAAACGTTGTTTTCTAGTTAGTATTTACTAGACAAGCGTGGCCACTTGACGCACTCTTATCGCTTTAGTTAAGTAATGTTTGAGATTAGACGTCTCAGATAGCAGAGCACGACTGCGCGATCTTCCTGAAGCTTGCGTGAACTAATGCTATTATACCTGCATCATTCTTGTATTTCAAATCGTATCTTCAAATACTACTGATTGGGTATTTTGATGCATTGTTTCGTTTGTGTAGAAATTCGTCACCGTTCTCATAACCATTTTGAAATGTCATTCAATATGAGAATCCTTGCTAGATCTCGATGATTATATTATGTATTTATCTATTTCTAGTTTTCAGCATCTATGATGTTTTAAAACAAAAAGGTAATTTTGAATAAAACAAACGCGAACACCATCAATTTCTGCAGGCGATATCTTACCCACAATTTCTGCAAAAAAAATCACATCTAGAACGAATATGGAACTGTGAAATACCTACCGTATCTTACAGGTGTGAATCGAAATACCAAATGATTCGAGTCATAACTGTAGTATCACACCTAGTCTACCCTACCGGTAATCTTCCGACTTTCACGTAGCACGAAATAAGCTGACATGCCGTTTAATTTTGATGAAGTAACCACACAAAATTTCGAAGTGAAAAACGAATCCCATAGAACCCACAAAAATCTTTGAAATAAATAAAAGTGATAACCCTCTACTGAAAATTTCAAAGCTGTTGGTCCAGTAAATGGAGAGAAAAGAGATCTTTCATAACAACAGAAATAACAGAACTTAACATAATGTTAATAATAAAATACTAGAAAGCGATGCTGAAATATATATAGACGAAGACCAAACGCGATGCAATGGCCCACCTTACTTTATATATACATCATCTTATCTAGTCTACTGTACGGTACGGAGAAAAAACTTTCGCGTATCACGAGAGAGGTCGCAGAACCGCTACAAATTCAATTTTATTAATTTTGAAGAGGCCATCATTCAAAATTTCGAAGTGTAAAACTAATCACATAGAGCCCTCAGACAGTTTAGAAATAGATAAAAGTCATAGCCACCTAGCGAAAAATACAATTGGGAACCACTAAAAATTTCAAAGCAATTATCATTAGTCAATGATAATTTTTTCATAACGATAAGGTTAAAATTACAAACAAGAACAACAACAACCTTATAACAAAACGACCCATATGTACATTTCGTGTGCAACAAGAGATCGATGATCAAATATATGGACACGGAGGTCACGGCGAAGCAGTACGAGTATGCAATGTATCACAGTATACCACCGGTAACAGCCGTCACGGTATCCTGAAAATGTGTTCCCATGAATGAAACTGAAACAGCGGAATTTTAGATTAAATATCAGATCTCATAGGGAATTTAGGAAAATAAAATTACATGTAGTAGTCTTCTAGAGACATCAACAATCTTTAACCACTGAAAATTTCAATACAATTGGTCCAGTAGTTCCGACAGCATGTCTGTGGTCTGTATGGAATTCGTTTTTTTGTGTGCGGCGATGTGATCAAAATTAAAAATCGCACTCCTTGTGGTAGTTGCGCTTTTGTGTAAGTTGACATCTGTTAGTTAGAGCAGCGGTTCCCAACCTTTCTACCCTGGCGGACCGGTAAAAATTGAAAGGAGCGGAACAGAAATTAATAATTATGATTAAAAAAAGCACACTCAAAAACATTTTACATGAGGAAAAACTATCAATTAATGTGTCGACTAAAAATTAAAATGGGTGGAACATAAAATAATAACATTTATTTGCGTAATAATGCGCAAAAAGGTCACACATAAAAAACAACTTAATCTAGTGAGGATTTTGCTACTGTTTCGTTTCCAATACAGGATTGCAATCGAGACATCAAAAAAGGGTTTTACAACACGTAGCTCTGCATCGATCTCGTTTCAATTAGAGCTAGAAAAAAGTTTTATCGTACAATTGAACAACTGCTTGAATATTCGGACAACGGTTTGATTGCCCGATTACTTAGCGGTAGGTATTCGTTCTCAAGAGAGCTCAAGAATGAATTGTGACAGTGATTGTTTTATAAATCTGGACTGTAAAGTAAAGGTTTCATCGGGTTCATCATATCAATCCCTCTGCAGTTGATCGACGATCGACCAAACAGAATGAATTTATATTACAATGATAAAGTCGTTGCTAACTTGGCACCAACCTCAAAATTCTGCTGTATATCACCCGGAAAAGATCTCAACGGCTCATGCCTTTGTTGCGAGTCCCGTGACCACTTGCAGGGTCGCAACAAGTTAAGATCTGGCTGGATTTCAAGGTGGAACTTTGGAATATTATAGTGTTCCTGACCGTTTTTTGGTTTAAACAAAGAAATATTCATAACCTTTTATTTGGATGGTAATATTAATCAAGTGACGCATGCAGAACGGAAAAAGCACGCATGCTGATTTTCAGTTTTCTGAGCTTGCAAGATTTGACGGAGCTCTTTCGCTATGAATCGGATCCGAATAAGCGAAAAGTGGGATTACTCGGCGCCAAGACGTCGCCGGGCCATTAACCACACTTATCAAACAGCAATGTGACGGCAGAAGAGAAATTGCGTAATAAACCAACGTAACCTCGTCTTATTAATCAAGAAAAGCATGCAGAACGGAAAAAGTACGCATGCTGATTTTCAGGTTTCTGAATCTTGCGATAGTTGACGGAACGCTTTCACGATGAATCGGAACCGAAAAATCGAAAAAGTGTGATTACTCGGCGCCAAGACGTCGCCGGGTTATTAATTAATACCGCACTTATCAAACATCAATGTGACGGCGGAAAAGTAATTGCGTAATAAACCAACGTAACTTCGTCTTCGGTAAAGCGATTGAGACGGCAGAAAACACAACAAAATATAATTTCCCGCCGACCGGCAAAAATGCTTTGCAGACCGGCACCGGTCCGCGGACCGGCGGTTGGGAAACACTGGGCTACGGTACCGGTATTGTACTGTGACATCGTGTCTATATATTTTGAGCATGATGCTTTTAATCTTGTTGTGAAAAAAATATCTCCTTTCTCTTTAAGTACAAGATCAATTGCTTTTAAATTTTCAGTGGTAAGGATTGTCGTTGTGGTTAGGAGTATACTTTTATTCTTTTAAAATGTTTCTGTAGACGTTTTGGAATTTGTTTTTCACTTTAAATTTTTGTGTGATGGCGTCATCGCCCGGAAAAATAAATAACCTAATAGCCTACTAGCGACAACAGTAGTTAATGAGACAGGAGATTTTTTCAAACAACGAAATAAAAATAAAATCCATAGATCCATTTCGTGTCCAATAACAACACAAAACGACCCATCACATGCCCATTCCGCGTCCAATAAGCATAAAATATTCATAATGATAAAGACAGGAAAGATTCTGATAGGGTCAAGTATTGGGGAAACATCAATTTGCAAACAATTTTTATACTTTCCAGATAGAAGTTCATTATGCTCGTAAGAAGACTAGTGACTTTTTGCACACTTAAAACAGCCTAAATTTTGCGACTGTCTCTTCGATTCTTCTATACACGAGATTTATCATTTGTAACAAACAATCGTAATTAAAATCAAAACTACCCACATACTCGCACGATATGACTTTCATTTGGACAGATTCTCAAAAGTCTTTCATTTCCTCATGGCGCGTTTAACCTTATTATGATACCCGGTTTCAAGTGGGCATGGTGAACGATTCTTGCACAGGTTGAGTTCTCCAAGTGATATCGACTCGACTGGTTTACAAAGTTGAGTAATCCGTAAATTAATAATAATAATAATAGTTTGATCAGGGCTTGGAATTTCATTGATTGAATATATATTGGCTTGTTTATCGCTACTTTTGTTAGCGGCGTTCCACTTGCTCAGTTTGAGTAGAAACACCTAGCATATTGAAAAGGCTACGTTTCCTGAGTGTAATTCCCTCAAGGAGGATCCAATCGACAAACTGCTACCGTTACCTGAATTTACCGTGACTGTAAGTGCAACTTTAAACTTTGCCGTTATAAGTAATAAGGACATTTTAACATCAAGTTTTTAACATGTTAAACCATAATGCTTGATAGTGTAGATATACAGAAGAAGTTCTCAACGTTCAGATGAGAGAAGCACAAGCTGGCTGTACGTGCGTGCCAAGGTGCCAGGTGCTCTAAACCCGTCAACATACGTGAATGTATCGCTTGCTATGGCAGTTCGTCATTTAACCTGACCAGTCTCGTTGATCCCCCCCCCCCCCCCCCCATCAACGGTTCAGGGCACTTTCAGCCGCTAAAACAGTTCTTGAGTTTTCGAACTGTATATCAATATATATCGAAAATATACTAAAATCAATATTCCCTTTACATTACGTACAAATACAGGTACTCCCGTAGTATATGGACCAAGACGGCGGACACCAAGACGTAGTATGTGTACCAGGTTAGGGTTAGGCCATAATTTCAGGTGCATATACTGGAGTCATTTGGCTAGTCCCCAAATTCGTAATAGAACTAAACTAAGGGAAAATTGGAATAACATTATGGCCTAACCCTAACTTGGTACACCTACTACGTTTCAGTGTCCGCCATCTTGGTGCACATACTACGGGAGCGCCCAAATAAGAATATTCATTTAATTTTCTTGTGATCAGACAGACTTTTTAATGTGTAATTGGCAATGGGAAATTACCTGTGTTGTTGTGCTAACGATGTTAATATGTGATTTAATTGCATAAAATTAATTGCATTGCGTTTGATGGCTTATATAAAACGAACGCAACTTTGAATGATGTGTCGTTGTAGACTTATGGTTGTTGAATTTCCGCGAAATTCCCGTGTAACCAATTTTCTGCACCGTAGTGTTTGAGGAAACTTTTTTTGTTGAGTTGATTTGAGTAACTGGATCGTTTTACTAAATTTTAGTTGTTGCTCGTTGTTTATATATTCTGCCCGCTTCTTTGCAAAATTGGTGGTCAGCTTAGGCTTAACGGTACCGGTGCACGATCTATATTTGAGCATTGCTATCTTCTTTTAGGAAGGATATTGTTGCTTAGTGCTTTACTTCAGTTTGTCGAAAATAATGCGGTTTTCAGCTGTAACCAGAAAGCATTTCAGTCGTGTTTATTGCACGTAAAACGATTTCAGAAGGAAATCAATA